CACAGTTTGAGTAAATGTGCAGCTTTCCAAAATAAAATGTACATTGATTTCATTATCATATTTTCACTCTCTCTGCCTCAGTCCAGTTTCTGGACTCTTTGAATGCCTGGGAGGGAAAATGGCAATTAAAATAAAAACATGGCCATATAGCCCGGAAAAGCCTTCGACAATGCAATTAAAATTATTTGGTGGCTCCCCTCAAAAAAGCACTGAAAGAGTTGAGGGACTCATTGCTTCTTTCAGTTTCTCCTGGGACAGACAAGGTTCTTGCCTTAAAGAACAGGATGAATCCTTTTGTTTTGTGAGAGTCAATACTATATGTAAAAAAGCACACACATACAGTATTACACCTGTCCTCAGCTTATGCGTGAGGGTAAGTTAGAATCTCTAATGCAATAACAAGAACAAAGGTTGGCAAAGCACCTGGACCAGATGGTATCACCACAGCCTATTATAAATGTTTATTCTGACAGCAGAAGTACCACTGAGAGCCATCTGAAATAAAATAATACTAAGGTGAAGAAACAAATGTTCAAACTTAAAACGTATGCCTATGATGTAATTTTGGTTCTGGAAAACCTGGTAGAATGTATGGAAGTATTATTAAACCCATCTAAATTTCCCAAATATACATAATATATGTTGGAAGTCTAAACAACAGGAAGGAAAAAAATTGAGCTGGAGTAATGTGTGCAAAAATATCTATTGCTAAGTTGGGGTCATTCCAAGAAAAAGGATGAATGCACAAAGGTCTGTTCAAGAGAAGAAATGGAGATGATTGGGAGAATAAAAAGACAGTCCATTGCCTTAGTAAACCTTGATAGTCTCCTTAGATATAATTGTCCAGACTGTTTCCAAGGGACAATTGCTCACCTTCAGAAAAGGGGTTAAAGGTTCTAATGACTTGACCTGTAGAAATTCCCAAACAGAGGCAAGGAAGTGGGTCTCGGCAGGAGCTTTGTTTTTTATGTTTATTTCCTCAGAGCTGATGGATGAATAAGATAGGTAGATGAAAAGAAAGGAGGTAATTGTACCAGCCAACTCCAATATGTGAATTTTGTGGTCACGTATCCATTCTAATTCAGTTCTATGTATTTTATCAGCTGTGGATTTCTTTGGTAATGGTCCAGAAAAAATATGGTGAATGCTGTGCCTATGAGATGTAAACAAAATTTGCTCAGCCCTTCGTTGGTTAGCCAGTATTGCGGTTGTTGGGATCAGAATAGAAGATATGGATTTGCAGCAGTTCATGATTCCTGTAGATAAACCGTTTAGCTCCATGGAGCTTAGGAATGAAGATTCAACACCACAATGTAACCCTAGACTGTATTACAACTCTGCTGATTCAGATTTATACTCTGTCAGAGCCTTTACTGGATCTCAGTGTAGATGTACTGAACTGCATTGTGTTGAGACAAAGCAGCATTCACATGGGAAAGTATCCAAATCCTATTCTAAATTGTTGATACACTGAACACTTCAAGAGTATTTTCAGTCAAATATGTTGTTATACAACATTCTCCTGTATCTGAGGTATGTAACACAACCTGATTGTTCGGGATTTTTCTTCCTGTGACTTCTAAATCTTGCTATGCAGACAACCAATAAGCACAAGACTCATGACAGACAAAGATAAGTTATTAGTGAAAGTTATCAATTGTCAATTATGGTCAAAAATACAATTACTAAAGTAACAATGCCTCTGAATGATTAACATGTAAGTTGAATTACTGATGGTCTGGAAACTGAAAAAGGAATATCCTGCCACTTTAAAAAAAGACAATGTGGTATAACATTTACTTACTTACTTACTTACTTACTTATTTCATATGCCATCTTTTCCTATATAAGGATCTAAGATGGCTTCCAAGATTAATAACCTACTTCAGTAATAAAAGTAATTTCTTACATTTGCTGTCACACCCATAACAAATTTCTCCCAGGCATGGGGGTGGTACCTACTTTATATAATGGTGACATGGTACCTAAAAGAAATAGCAATTTGTAATGAAGTAGTGCTTGCAATTTGAGACTGGGAGCTAAGGAATATATCCTATGCCACCCTCAGAGCAGATGAGCACCCAATTCATTTGAGAACAATGATCTTCTAGGTGGGAGGATAGATTGAAAAGAAAACATATCTATGGCAGGGGAGTGGGACATGGCAAGAACCTCCCCTTGTGTGATAGGTTCTTCATAGCTAATAGAATGATAAGGTAGTTGAGAAGAAGTGCAAACCAATTGTGCAGATGTGGATGATTATGAAGGGAATTAATCTCAGGCCTCAATTGTGTATATTATAGAGGAGGCCAATTATTAGTTGTAAATTAAGGTAACTGCCACCAATGTGAGGTATTTGAGGTATCACCGATGAGATCTGGCTCTACAGACGCAGGTTAGATGGAAGTCTAACAAAAGATAACAAGTTTATTGTGTACAAAGCGTATGGTTGCAGGCTGTTAAATAACTTATAGAACTTTGAATATCACTTGGTTTTAATACAGTCCACTCTTTCAAATAACACAGCTCGTGGCCAACTTTTACTGAGGTGAAGCTCTTTAGTGAACAATGTTTCCTACTATGAATAGCCTTCCAATTTGATCTTTCCATGATCAAATCTCTGGTCTCTAGCCTTCCTTGACTAGGGATCTTAACAAGCCTCCTTTAGTTTTCCTTGACTAAAGAAACTGGCCAGGTTTCTCTCTTCAACCCTTCTAGACTGAAAAACCTCCAGCTGCTCACACACACCTCTCTCCTAGGCTTTTCAAGCCTCCACACCCACTGCCCCTTTTCCAAAGACGCCTATAACTTTTTTCTGCTCGGTTCCACCCACTTCTCACTCTCCTGAGCTAGCCTGCCTGGTCTCCTTGGCAACGCTCACTGTAGATTCAAACCAGATAACTCTAGTTTTAGCTACTGTTACAAACATGAATATACACTCTAACAGTTAAACACATACATAGTATCAATGACTTCTGCACAGTAGGAAAGGCAGATAACAAGAAAGAAGGATGTAATGATGCAGAAGCAAAAATGTTGACTGCTCTGTCTGTGAGATAGAAGTCAAATTTGCTAAGCTCTCCCCCCCTCCCCCAATAGTCAGTGCTGTGACTATTGGGTCCATAGAAGATATGGATTCCCTCACAGATCATTGTTCCTGCAGATAAAAAGGCTTAGGGTTTTTTGGATTGTAGGAATGAAGATCCAAGGCCGCTATATTATTTATCGTGTCATCAGCAACCATACCATTGTATTACAATTCTAACAGAGCAAAACAAACACACAGATTAAAAAGAAAACACACACACACACAGATTTTGCAAACTTGAATATTGACCTCACTCCTATGTAATCCTAAACTACAATGCAATTCTTTAAATACAGATGTCTACTATGTCAGAGCCTTTATTAGATCTCAATGCAGATATGCTGGATTGTGTTGTGCTGGAGATACAGCAGCATTTACATAGGGAAACAACTATGTTGTAAAAATTTGGATATTGCAGACCAGTTCAACTCCACTTGGCTACTTGTTACACCATACAAATGCTCCTAACATCCTCCTCTCATGGCACACATCCCAACACTTCTTGTGTTAGATTGCAACATTGCAAGTTTCTCAGATAGGAAATGGATACAAGAGTCGAGATCCTATCCAGTGCCAGTGGACAATCCTACTTTCAATAGTGTATGTAATGCTGAAAGTACACAGAGTTAAGATTGTTCTTATTTCCAGGAATGCACAATCCAACGTGACTACTTTGAGGTGTTTTTAATAATATTTCAAAAACTATTAAAGACAATTACATGGGTAAAAAACAAGTGAAACTACATAATAAAATCTATAATTCACAAAAAAATTCATTAGAATAAGAAATATGGCATTTTGATGTGTGTGTGTGTGTAATATTCACTTATATATATAATATTGGAATATCTAAAAATCAAGATCAATAACACATACATGATATCAATTTTTTAGAAATGACATAAAATACCTTTAATTTGGTACCTAGTTACTCAAAAATACTTGAAAGTTTAGGAGAAAGTATAAACGTTTAAAGCAAGCTCAAATTATCATAGTTGTTAAATATCTGGAAATGTCAAAAATTGTATTAAACTTAATTTTTTGTTATGGAGTTTAACCTGGGGAGTCTGATTCTGGTGTTAGCTTTGGTGGATTACATTGTCTTCACATCAAAAATATTGATTAAACATCTGCAACATCAAGGCTTGCTTCCACTATGTCGGCTATTGCAACTATTGCAATGCAAACTGGTAGAAAGGTAGATAATTCAAGGGTGAATGAATTGACAAAATTTGGTTGAGATCATGCCTGTAGTTCTGGAGGGACTCTTAATTTTTGCTTCTCATAGGGATTTGGTTAACCAGCTAAAATTCAAGAGTTAACAAGGTTTTTTGTTTAATCTGAAAATTTTCAGGGGTAGTTTGAATCCCTAAACCTCCCACTGCCCCCAGCTTGTCTGGAACATTATTTCTTGCCTCTCACTTTGGAATTTCTCAATGCATAGGTAGGTACTATAAGTTGGTAACCTGAATGCTCACCTGGGCACAAAATACACTATGCTCTTATCCAAATAGAGGACAAAACTGGGCTTTTTAGAGAGCTATGTTATGTATTCACAAAGCCAATCAAGGCATAGTAAAGATTCTGATGTAAACTTGAGGGGAGTCTGTTTAAGGCTCCTTGCTTATAGATTGAGTTCCATAATAATAAATGGAATAATAGAAAGTGATTACCCAGGGAATTTTACATACATAGCAGGGGCTAAGACAAGTACTACTGATTACACTATGTAACATGATTTTTCTTCTTTGGTTATAAATACTATTTCATAATTGGTTCTATCATAATAACATGGAACAAGTTTATTAAACTGCAAAAACTTTGTCAATGAACATCAAAACCCAACTAGTAGAGTAACCACCACCTCCACCCTAAATGAGTAACATTTAAACTGAATTACTGAGGTTCAGGGGACTTTAAAAAGTATTATTCTACATTTTATACAAAACTGACAATGTGGCACAATATTTATATATTTGTGTGCTTACTGCCATACCTACTTACTTTATATGTCATCTTTTCCTGCAGCATGACCTAAAGTGGCTTTCAAGGACAGAATCCAAAGACAACATTCTCTGGCAAAAGTAAGGTTGCAGCCATCCAAATAAGAAATTACTTCAAGGCATAGAGATGGTAACTTATACATTGATGGAATGGTACCCAAAACAAATTGCAATTTGTTATGTAGAAGTTTTTGTGATTTGGGTCTGTGGATGGGTAATACATTCCATGCCACCCCAAACGTAGATGGCAACCCAGTTCTGTTAAGAACAATCATGCTCCATGTATGGGGGAAAGCAACCTCAGGCTCAGCGTGGGATGACACAGAGCTGGTAAAAGGGTGGGATGTTGTAAAAGCCACTCATCTGAGGAGTGAGGTCAATATCTTCAGGGGGAATAAGGGACTTTAGTTGGAAATTCTGCAGGATGGTGGTGAAGAAGAGGAAAAGCTCCATGCGGGCCAAGGCTTCACCCAGGCAGATCCTTTTCCCTGAAAGAAAAATATGTGAATTTATTGGAGGAAAGGACGGACACATCCAGCTATCTTTAATCACATGCCTCCTGAGATGCAACCTGTGATGTTTCCCCTCCAACCATCAATCTCATTGTCTTAGATCTACTCCTTTGTATCCAACTTGCTATGGCTTTGTAGTTAAACTCAACCATTTTGAATAACCATTTCAGCCACCTTGCTATGAGATTTTGGATGGTCCCATTGTTCATTTGTGGAAACCTAATTTTGGTGACTCTAAATCCAAAGGCAGCCAAAATCATTTCTAAATTTGTCAATCTTGATGTTACAGATTTTGATCTCTAGAGCTACTTGTAAGTAGGGATGCAATTTTTCAATCATTTTGGGTTTGAAGGAAGCAATTAGTAATTTTAGCAATTTTGTTCTGATTGCAAAATATTCTCCCCAAACTGTGCAATTTAAGAAAAACAGCAACCGAACAACTAGACAAAGAAGAGGAAATGGAACAATCCAAGGAATAATCTGATCTGGATGCTTGCACATTAGAATCTCCATACTAAAAATACTCTCATTGATTGTCAATGGTCGCAATACATCAAACAAAAGGAAAAAGATATTTCAACATCTGACTGATCAACAGAGGCTGACTTAATTGCTATTCACAAAACCCACATTAAAAAACAAATATAAATCTTCGATTATCTTTAAAAATTAAATCAAGTGCACATTGCATTGGACGTTGTTAAGAAAATTGGGGTAGATTGCTTTTGAAGGCAGATCATAGACCAGCAAGAACTGTGTATTCGTAGATGTGGGAACTAGAAGAAACTCCAATAATAAAAGAATGAATAGTAAAAGTAGCTGAAACAGAGGAAATTGGCATGATGAGAAGATATCTTGAGCTAAAACACCCTTTAATATTCAAGCAAGACTGGGAACCATGGAGGAGGAAGTGGGCAACAATGAAATGAAATCAAGAGAGTACATGACGAAGTTCTTAACCCTTACATAATTTTGCATGTTTGATGTGGGAGAATAAGGAGACCACAGTAGCAAGCTCTAAAAGCAAGTATGGGATATCAAGTTAATAAACTAACAAAATGTGAGTGCGATCCTTCTCCTTATTGGTGTTTTTAGGAGAGTTCTACCTGAGGAGAAAGGCACAAATGCATCATTCTTCTTGAAACGCCCATTCTCATCCAAGAAGTTCTCTGGGTTGAAAGCATTGGGACTTTTAAACATTGTGGGATCATGCAAGACAGTGCTGAGTATTGGGTAGACTGTCATCCCCTAGGAAAGAAAAGGGCTATGAGCAAAATACAGTTCCAGAACAAATATCTTGCACAGCATTCTTTCAGTCTAAAGATTACGGAAAACCTGGATTTATTGGAACTAGGTTTTACACTTGAAATTGTTTGATGGTTTAAGATACAACCTTCTTTTGGGAGAGAGAAAAACAGATCTGCGAAATTCAAGTTGAACATCCGCAAGGCACTAAACTGTGGTTGTGGCAACCCCTGGTGGCTTATGAGATTCAATTAGGTAGCCCATGAGATGAATGGAGAATCCTTTTATTGCATGCGCTTACTTGCCTTCTTCGCTTGTTTCTTAGGCTCAATCTACATCGCCAATAAAATCCAGATTATCTGCTTTCAACTCAATTATATGACAGTGTATTTATTTATTTAATTACCATATTTGTACCTCACCCTTCTCACCCCGGAGTGGACTCAAGGTGGCTTTATAACAGGCAGCCATTTGTTGCCATGACACATATATTAAAAATAAACAATTACCATTAAAACCAAATAATTAAAACATAAATGATTAAAACAATAATGAAAATCATGCCATGAGTGTAGACTCATATAATCGAGTTCAAAGTAGATGATCTGGATTATCTGATTTGATAATCTGGATTATATGGCAGTGTAGATCCAGCCTTAAATTCAAGGTCATTTATTCCATTACGGAATTATGGGATCTATTAATTTTTGTTCTAAAATTTACCAAAAAGTGTCTTCTCAGTTGTATTACATAGAACCTATCAACGTAACCTCCAGGAATCTGTTAATGCTTTCAAGAGGAATGTGGCTTTGATAACTGAATATGTCAAGGTAGGACTAAAGTGCATCCAGCTAAGAGCTGAATGCTTCCCTTCTGTTCCCTACCCAACAGAGAAATAGGTGTCAGGGGCACTGAACATTGTTGCACCATTGTAACAGAATTCCTACCTTTCCAATTTTTTTAAAATGGATTTAGACAAGGGGTCTTCAAACTACGGCCCACAGGCCACATGTGGCCCGCCGAGGGCATTTATCCGGCCTGCTGAGGAGGAGGCCTCCTTCTCAATCCCGTTGGGCCTGGCAAGCAGTGAAAGCAGTGAAGGGCTTTGTGTGATGCCAGGCAGTGCGGTACAGCCTCTCTTGCTTGGCTCGCACAAGGGGCAGCACAAGCCAGGCAAGTTGCACTGCATGGCCTGGCCTCGCACAAAGCCCCTCGTCACTTGCCAGGCCCAATCCCCTCACCTTCCTCACACCGCCTGTCGGGCCTGGCAAGCAATGAAAGCGGTGAGGGGCTTCATGCAATGCCAGGCTACGCAGAGCAGCATCCCTTGCCTGGCTCACATGAAGAGCAGCGCGAGGCAGGTAAGCTGCACAGTGCAGCCTGTTCTCTTGTGAAACCCCTTGCCGCTTCCATTGCTTGCTGGGCCTGACGGGCGGTGCGAGGAAGGCAAGGGTGGCCTGGCCTCACACAAAGATCTTTTAAACATTGAAATGAAATATAATTGATGCTTACATATTCCAAAAACCACTTTCAAAAAGACAGAAAATGGAAAATTTTCCTCATTTTCTTTGGAACTATTTTATCTTCAGAAATGCTAAAGTTATCTTGTTCTATGTATTCCTATATTGCTTTCAGCAGCCCATGGTTGGGTGTGTGTGCATGTATGTGCTTTCAGGTCACCTTTTATTTAGGGTGACCCAATTAATTTAATAGGGTTTTTTAAAAAAGAGGAAATACTCAAAAATAGTTTTGTCAGTTTCTCTGAAATATAGCACCTGCTATTCATTTGTGGCTTCCCATCCAAATACTAACCAGAACTGGCCCTGCTTAGCATTCAAGATCAGAGACATTTAATCTTTCATTGACTTTGCCAGGTATTATTATTCTGTACAGTAGTATCTCTTACCCCTGTGAACCAACTTGTACATATAGTTCCCAAGTTACAAACAAGTTATGTAGGTTTGTTCTCACTGTAAGTTGAGTTTGGTTCAATTTCATTGTTGGAGTTCAGAATGCTCTTGGTTGGCAACTATTCATCCCAGCAACTCCCAAATTTTAAAGTCTATTTTCCCCAAGCCCCTCCAGTATTTTCTGTTGGTGATGGGTATTCAGCTGATAGGTTGATCAGTAAACATATTCATGGGTCCCCTGCTGTTATATTAACACTGTTACCCATGCTGTGACATGCTTGAAGTCAAAATTTCATTTATTTGTAATTAGAAATAAATATTTCACAATAGATAATTACATATTGTTTTTGTGATTAATCACTATGCTTTATGTTCAGATTGTAACAATGAAAATACATCTTGCATAATCAGATATTTACATTACGATTCATAACACTAGCAAAATGAGATATGTGCAGTGCGCATAGAAATTTGATCATAGTTTTTTTAAAAACTATAGTCCAGCCCTCCAACAGTCTGAAAGACAGTTAACTGGCCCCTTGTTTAAAAAAGTTTGAGGACCCCTGACTTAGACAATCTAAAACCATCTGCTGTCTGGTAACTGTTGGTGGGATTGAATCACAGTGTAATGTCCCATGAATACCTTCAATTAGTAGTATACTGGTTGCCCCACGACTGTACCTTAGGGATATGATATCCTCTGAATTCAGTGTCACGAGTAACCATATGTACCAAATCCAAAGGAAGGATATCACTGCATCTCTGCACTTCGTGGATAACGGCATCTGTATACGGCATTTGCCTCCGATCTTCAATGTTTGGGACACGATTACGGCCAATCACTCGATCAATTTCTTCATGCACTTTTGCTGTTAAAGGTATGAGGATAATTAACTCCTTGGGTTTGTGACTCTCAAAGGAAATGAGATTCTACTTCTAAGTAGACTAAAGGGGAACATGAAATCCCTTCCTATTTGTTGCAGGAAGACTGACATCTCATCCCTAGCAACAACCTGCATGGCCTGATTGTGCCTTCCTCTTGTAGAGAGAACACTAATTTTTCTCATAGCTTGTACCTCTTCAGTCATTTCTCTCCTTTCCAGTTATTTCTGAAATCACCAACTATTGGCAGGTCTGTGTAGTAGCCAAACATTTTAAAGTCAGTATTTGCCAAAGTTTTTACCAACAAAATAAAGTATTGGCAGAGTGGTTCCCAGCTGAGAAAGGGTTTATTAAGAACATGAAAGAGTTTATCTAACTGGGAGATGGTGGGTGCAGTTTTCTTTCAGCCACAGTTGGAAAAAAATGTCCAAAAGGGACATCTGTCAAATTATTTTTTTAAATACCAGAAAAAATAGAATATGTAATGGACTGGAGGATCCTCTTTGGTATATGGGACATTCGATGGAGGTTTTACCAGGTTATTAATGGGAACTGGTTACAGGGAGCAGTCAACCCCCCTGTTTAAACAGCTCCACTGGCTGCCAATAAGTTTCCAGTCCCAGTTCAAGGTGCAGGTGATCACCTACAAAGCCCTAAATGGTTCAGGACCTGCCTATCTTCGAGATTGCATCTTCCCCTACAAACCCTAAGATCATCTGGGGAGGCTCTGCTCTCACTTCCTCTGCTGTCTCAAGCCCTGCTGGTGGGAACGAGGGAGGGGGCCTTCTCGATGGTGGCCCCTCAGCTCTGGAACTCCCTACTTGAGGAGATCAGATTGGCACCCAGCCTATCCATCTTCCGTAAGGACCTTAAAACCTGGATGTTCTGTTGTGCATTTGATTAGGCAGCTCACCAGAAATTGGATTGATCTCACCATAGCTCTTTGCACTTTCGTTGGCCCCCACACCTGTAATCCTGTTCTGTAAATGCCTAAGGATGTTACCCTCCCAGCTGTGACCTTTAACTGAATTTGAAACAAATCTTGCACTTTCCCTGGCTCTACCCAGGAATGATTGCACATTCCCTGATCCCCCCGCACTCAGCAATTTCAGCCAAGATACTGTTTTTAATTTGTGTATTGTGATTCATGTTATTTGATGTTGTTCTGGTTGTTTTTTATTGTGTGGGTTTTAATCTATATTTCATGCTTCACCCTTGTAAGCCACCCCATGTCCCTTCGGGGAGATGGTGGCGGCGTATAAGAATAAAGTTGCTGTTGTTGTTGTTACCATCAAATGTATTATTTGAAGTGCAACCAACCATGGCTGAAAGAAAAAGAACAAGTTTCTCCCAGACTTCTGTGACAGAAACAAGCCTATGTTGCTGGAAGTGAGCCTAGAGAGACCCCTGAGCATTTCATCAGGGACGGCCCTTTGACCAAAGAGATCTGGCAAAAGATGTCCATCATCTTTGACTGGCCGGTCTTGGCGCTCCAACCTTGGGAGGTGGTGGTCTCTGGAATGGAGCTGGAAACCGATATCCGGGGACCACATCGACACCAAGGAAGGAAGAGGAAGAGGGGAATGCAGAGGGACACTCAGAAGGCCTTTTGGGATGTTCCTTGGTCAACAACAAGGTTGATAAACTTGTATGTTCCCCTGACCCTGGTTTTCCAGAGACGTTGAGAAATAACAACTCAAAACCCAGCAAATGTTACCTCTAGTGTGAATTGGATAGTAGAGAAAATAGGAGCCCTGAGTAAAACAAACGAGGCGGGATGCCCTCTAACCTATGGAAAAAGTTCTGGCCCTGCCTGACAGAAACCACACCTGGGATCACCTGAAGGGTTGTAGGTTTTATATAGATCCAGCCATAGATAAATAAATAGAGAGAGAGAGAGAGAGAGAGAGAGAGAGAGAGATAGATAGATAGATAGATAGTCAGACAGATAGATTTAATACAAAATAAAAATTTGAAGAGTTTGAGATATATTAATTGATATGTGTGTGTGTGTGTGTGTGTGTGTGAATTTGCAATTGTGTTTGTAACTATAACTGTTTTTATAATTGAAACCTAAGAAAGAAAAACTGTGAAGAAATAATCACAACTGGTTTTGTCACTATAATGATTTAGAAAATGTAAATGTTGCAAAACTAAGTAGGTGTCATTTGATTGTAACTGTTAGCAAATGCATGTTTATTATAATAAAAAATACTTATATAAAAAAAATACTTATATCGAATGGGCTCTCAGTATTTGCCAAAGTTTCTACCCAGGACACATGGATGCCAAGGTCCTACTATAGACAGTGGTGTAGTAAAAAGGCATCTCATATATAAAAAACCAAACAATGCAAACAAATGCTGTAGAAAACCTGAGAATCAGTGAAATGATGGGAGGATACAACTGGGTTTATATCCGCGTGAGACTTGGTATGCAGCCAAACCAAGGCTTGCTTTTTCTAAACATTTTCAAGCCATGATTAGCTAAATCTATAGGTGCAGAACCTATAGATACAGAGGCTGACCATTCTCAAATGATTATAGAGAAGTGGAAATTAGGGTGGAATTTGACCACAGAATTTGGATAGAAGTTGAATATAGAATTCCCTTGGAAAAACTAAACATTCCTAGAGAGAACATGTTAATCAAATCTGTAAATGTTCAACCTGCCAATTTGTGCTAATTGTAAATGATATTAACAATAACAATACCTTGCACTTCAGAATATTTCATCAGACACTGGAAGCCATATTTCAAGGTGGGACTGCCCGTCTCTGTTCCTCCAAGGATCAGATTAAGAACGCTGACCTCCAAGTTCTTCATAATAAATTCACTGTCTGGATTGTCTTTTTCCTGAAAGCAGGAGAGAACAAGACATCATGAGAGAATTCCAACTCTGATTGGAAGCGAGTAGGATAGATTAGAGATTTCGTATTGCATTTCCCTAAGTGAGAAGGATTATTGGACAGTCAATGCAGAGTCGTGCGACCTTCATGCACCAACAAGATACCTTTTCCATTTGGATGAGGAAGCAATCAATATAGTCACGTGGGAAATTAGGGTCCAGGGTCTCTTGGTTCTTCTTGATTCTCTTGGCAATGAAGAGCTTTATGTCCATGCAATCATAGATCTTATTGTAGATTCCAGGAATGTAATTCAGGTAGTTGGCATACATGTCATAGAACTGCACAAAGAGAAAAACCATGGATAGTTGCTGCATTCCATCCAAGCATCAACAGCAATTCCTTATTTTGCTCTTGAGGGATTTTCCTAAAGGTTCAGAATCCTGGTAGTAAAAACAAGTTGAAATTGAAAGAAGAGAAAGAGCACTTGGATAGGAGATGGGTCACAAGAGCATGGGGATTTGTGGCTGGATGTGTGAAATGAACATCTAGAAATGTGAAAAAGGAAGAGGAAAAACTCAGGGGAATTGTAATACTTTAAACTGAGCATTACTGCAGAAGGAGTACCTGAGCCCAGGAGGTGCTCATCTCCCAGAAGAACTTGTTTGCCATCACCATGAGGGCCTGGAATTCCTTGTCCTCATAGTCGAAACGATTCCCAAAAGCAATAGAACAAATGATGTTGGCGAATGCCCGGCTGAGGATGAAGGTAAGATCAAAAGGCTTTTCTGAAGCACAGCAAAAAGAATGAATGAAGAATCAGTCCACAGAAGGTCTTTCTGGTGCCAAGAATAGGCCCACACTGCATCAACTAATTGTGGGGCAAAGGGAGCTGTAGTCCCTCTTGCTTAGTGATTGCAGTACTTTCATTTATCAGAATGAGTTCAACTGTCTTTGGGACCTGTCTTACCCTTTGTATTCCGAAATTCTTCAAGCAAGAATTGGGCCTCCTCTTGAATTCGCTCTTCAATAGATTTTTTCCCCATTCCAAAATTCCTCAAGACGGTGAGGGTGAACCGGCGCAGTTCCTTCCACCGTTGTCCATTGGAAAAGGCCATTCCTGAAGGAAGCAGGAGAGAAATGACATGGCAAGTGCAAAAAAAACAGCAGGACCATTATTATAATCATAAATGGAATGCCTCACCATATCCTTCGAAGGAAGGCACCATTGAAGGCATGGTAGTCCTTCCGCTGAACTCTTCTGCCTTGTCTACCAAAGCCTCCTTCACAGCTTGGTGTCCACATAAGATCAGAACTGGACTTGTCCCAAAATAGACGGTGAAAACAGGGCCATATTTTTCACGTAGCTGTAGGGAAATCATCCTTTTACTGGTTGCACAATCTCTGCGCACAATGTCATGTCACACAATGTGGGATCAAAGTATGCTGAATCTTAATGCAGAGTTTCAATTTTAGTTAGAACAAGCACTTGATTAGAGTAATGATCCAATGGGATGAAAATTTGATTCCACCTTCTTGATCCATCCCAGTTGAAGTGATTTATTTATTTATTTTATTTCGAGGTTTTATATACCGACCCTCTCACCTTCAAAGAGGGATTCGGACCGGTTCACAACATGTGTTAACATACAAAAAATATACAATAACAACACAATGCCACTTCATTACACAATTAAAATATCAGCACCATACACATTAAAACATTATCATCCCAGTTAAAAGAGCCAAATCGTCCGACACCATCACAATCCCATTCATCATCCTCCTTTCATGTGGGCAAAGAATTAAATCAGTTGTCAAATGCCGCGTTCCACAACTAGGTCTTTGTTAGTTTCCTGAACGTCATGAGGGAGGGGGCAGTTCTGATCTCTAATGGCAGGGAGTTCCAAAGTCGAGGGGCCACCATCGAGAAGGCCCTGTCCCTCGTCCCCACCAGCCGTGCTTGTGCAGGCGGAGGGACCGAGAGCAGGGCCCCTCCAGACGATCTTAGTGGTCTTGATGGTTTGTAGGGGAGAATACGTTCGGAGAGGTAAACAGGGCCGGAGTCGTTTAGGGCTTTATAGGTTAACACCAGCACTTTGAATTGTGCTCGGAAGCTAATCGGCAGCCAGTGGAGTTCGAGTAACAGCGGAGTGGTGTGCTCCCTGTACCCCGCACCCGTTAGTAATCTGGCTGCCGCGCGTTGTACTTGCTGCAGCTTCCGGGCAGTCTTCAGAGGCAACCCCACGTAGAGAGCGTTGCAGTAATCTAAGCGGGATGTAACCAAACCTAAGTGATCCCTTAGAGTTCCTCAGTATAGATGCACTCTAAGGCCCTTTCTACTCTACCACATTATCCAGATTATCTGATTTGAAATCGATTACATGGCAGTGTAGACTCATACAATCCTGTTCAAAACCGATAATGTAATAATAATAGTAATAACTTTATTTTTATACCCCACCACCATCTCCCCAAAGGGACTCGGGGCGGCTTACAAGGGACAAGCCTGAAAATACAGATTAAAACCCACACAATAAAAGGAAAGTGAAATCGACAACAACATCAAAAAAATTACAATCACAGTACAAAATTTAAAACAGTATCATGGCTGAAAGTTTAAGTGCTGAGTGCAAAGGGAATGAAATGTAAATTATCTGCTTTGATCATCTTGATTATATGACAGTGTAGAAGGGGCCCAATAGTCCTGTAGTATTCTACAGTCTTCTACACTATTGAATTCATCCAGCTTGACAGCACTTTTACTGCCATGGCTCAATGTTGTGGAGTCATGGGAGTTGTAGTTTGGTGAGACACCAGCACTCATGGGTAGAGGAGGCTAAAGCCGCCCTGAGTCCCCCCTGAGAAGGGTGGGGTAGAAATGCACGAAATAAATAAATAAATTGTAAAACTAAAGCCCCCAGCAGGGCTGTAGCCGAGGTGGGGGGGGGGGTTAGGAGTTCAACCCCCTCCCTGAAATTTTTCAAGTAAAAAAAAATCTGGTTTACTCATGAATCTTAACTGGTTAACCAAATTCCCATGCTAAGTCTATAAGAAGCAAAAATTAAAGGAGATCCTCCAGAACTGCAAGTACTATTATTTATTTATTTATTTATTTATTTATTTATTTATTTATTTTATTATTTAAACTTATATGCCGCCACTCCCCTGGGGCTCGGAGCGGCTTACAAGACTAGCTAAAATCTCACAAAATTTAAAAGCAATTTAAAACAATTTAAAAACAACACTATCAAACATTAAAAGCCTGTCGAAACAGGTATGTCAAGCAAATTTTGACAATTTATTCACACTGTCATTACTTGCAGCCATAGCCGAGATAGTGGAAGCAACCAAGTCAACATAACAGCTGGCAAAGCCTAAGGCACCCAGGGAGGGGGGGGGGAGGCCTTCATGAAGGAGACCAGACTTGGTGAGGGCAGTTGTGGCTTTGTAGAAACTCCAAGGGCTTTCCGTTCTTGCTGCCTCCCCTCCCCTTTTCCAGATAGTAGGGTTCCTATTACTTGCTATGCCTTTGCCTTGGCATTTATTGGTGGGAAATGAGGTTTCAAAGAGAAAAGCAAAGAAGAGGGAACAAGAAACAAAGCTGTTGTTATGCTGAGAAAGGTTGAGCCATGAAATAGATGAAAGAAACATCCAATTGTTTTTGAAGTAGTGGTGTAGACAGCCAGAATTATTTCTTATACGGAAAGCGCTGTTGAGCAATTTTTAGGAAGCAGGAAGATCTCGGAGCATCCAGAGGGTGAGGCCCAGCATACTACATTCCCTGTGTATTTATTCATATTTGTCATTGTCTGAATAAGGTGCCATTGCAATTTGAAAAGTGATGTTGAATAACTATATTTAGTCTCATCGGAATTCTAAAGGCGTTAGGTAAATTTCGTCTCATGCATTTGGGGTTCAAACTTCTTATCATGACTATGAATGGAATTAACTGGAAATGGAAATGTGCTGATTCCAGTGTTCACACTCGGACTTGCATTCTTGAGTGTTCACCAAAGTTTATCGATGGAGTTGGATTTCTGTCAAAGAGTATTTCAAGTGTTTCCAACAGATGTTGTGGTATTCTTTTATAACAGCCATTTTCAGTTATTTTAAGACTTTGAACATTGGAACTAAAATAAAAATTTGATTTGATTAAATAGATATAAAATATAGAATGAACCATAGAATTTAAATTATTTTGTGTGGAACTATTTATGATTCACCAAAAAAAAAAGCCTCCCCCCTGCAAATTCTGGCTATGTCCCTGGCCCCAGGATTCAATAACATCGTTTAATGTCCCTCACCAAACTACACATTCCAGGTTTCCACAGAGTGGAGCCCTAGCAATTAATGGAGTATCACAATACAAATCTCAGAAACTATTCCAGACAAAGAATAGCATTTGCACTGTCTGGTGTTCTTTAGTGTAAATGTGAGTCCTATCATCAACTGACACACCACGAGACAGAGGGGAGGAAAGATAATATTCTGTCCAGAAATATATATGCAAGAATATCTAGAAAAACTTAGGATTTTCCTTGGGAAGAGATTTTTCTTAATTCTTCTTTGCTACAGATTATAAACCATGCAATACAAGATACAAAGAAAGAAGAAAGACAAAGAAAGTAAAGAAAAAGATAAGAGGATAAAGATAGCTTCCAGTGTTCCACGCATACTTCTTTCCATAACCAATCATTTCTGATCATTAAACATAAACTTCTTTTTACCTATATAAGGTCTTAAAGAGTCCCAAAAAAAAGTCCATACCTTGAGAAGAGATTTTAATGTTTCAGCTGGCTTGATTTGCAGGAAATTCCCAATCAGGGGCAGGGGAGTGGGTCCCGGAGGAAGTCTTCCCTTGTGCAATTGTTTCCTCTTAGGGTTTATAAGCAGATGGCAAAAAATAAAGACCGCAAGGAGGAGAATGAGCGTACTAGCCCATTCCATGATGCAGGTTGTCAACTGTCTTTCTCTTTTGGCACTGACCTCATCTAAGCTGAAGCTTTATAGACTTTCATTGGGGTTGGTTGGGCACCGCCTTCTGTGTTTTATAACTGCTCCTACCAAGAGTGCAAGTCAACAGTAAGACCAGACAGAAACCAAACAGTGGAATTAGGGAAAATATTGTTTATTCCTTCATGGCAAGGGATTGAATATGGCATGAATAGCTCTTGTGGTGTCTTCCAACTCTGGGAGTCTGCAATAGTTTCTTTCCTGGTAAATCAGTGTTGTGGATATTTTGTACAGAAGGCATTTTTTTTTAATGCTTGCACCACAGCAAACATTCTAAGGTGACTTACATAAATTATCCATTTTTGTAAGCTGTAAAACACCCAAGGTATCATTTACTATATACCAGTGTTTCTCAACCTGGGGGTCAGGACCCCTGGGGGGGTCGTGAGGGGGTGTCAGAGGGGTCACTAAAGACCATAATCAGGACGTCGACATCACTCTTGTCTTTCAGGAGGAGGGTAAAGACGTGGTTGTGGGACCAGGCCTTCGGGCAATCTGCTAACTAGGTAAGGACAGCCAGACAAACAGGACCGGCAGGACGGATAAATGTGGAAGGAAGCTCTGAACTATGAGATAGCAAACATTGACCGGCAATAAGGAGTAATTGGTTTGTATCGGTTTGTATGAAATTTTTATTGGCTTTAATGGTTTTAATGGGTATAGATGTAATGTATTGCTGTTGATTGTTAAATTGTGTTATTTGTTTTATTGCTGTGGTATGTTACGGGCATCGAATTGTGCCTTGGATGTGTAAGTCGCCCTGAGTCCCCTTCGGGGTGAGAAGGGCGGGGTAAAAGTAAACCAACCAAATAAATAAATAAATAAATAAATAATAAAACACACTATTTTCTGTTGGTCATGGGGATTTTGTGTGGGAAGTTTGGGCGTATGGGGTATTTGTGCCAAATTTGGTCCAGTGAATGAACATACATCCTGCATATTGGATATTTACAATTCATTACAGTAGCAAAATTACAGTTACGAAGTAGTAACTAAAATAATTTTATGATTGGGGGCTCACCACAACATGAGGAACTGTATTAAAGGGTTGCAGCATTAGGAAGGTTGAGAACCCCTGCTATATACAGTTGGTCCTCCGTAGCCACAGTTTTTGCATCCATGGATCCAGTCAACCATGGATCAAAAATATTTGGGGACAAAAACTCCAAAATGTAAATATTGGTTTTGCCCGCACACCAAGCATTTTGCTGATGTGTAGGCTTCACCTCAAACTCTCTCTGGCATACATGTGAGTTGTTTTCTATCTTATATTTGCAAAGGATGCCCCCAGGCAGTAAGAAGCCACACTTTGAAAACTGCTATGTGATTAAATGCTAATCAAGGTAGCCAATTGAAATATTCTCACCTACCTCCAAAAGACAAGAGTTCTTTCCCCCACATTGGAAATTCCACAGAGGTTCTATATCCATGGATTCAACCAACCATGGATCAAAAATATTTGCAGGCAAAGACTCCAGAAAGAAAACCTTACTGATGCATAGCCTTCCAATAATTTCAAAGATCCTCAAGCTCTCTCTGGCATTCATATGAATTGTTTGCTATATATGAATTGTTTGCTATATATGAATTGTTATATATAGGATGCCATTCCACTCCATCATTAATAATAATACGACGAGCATCTATGATTTTGGTTTCCATGGTTTTGAACTAAACCCGGGTGAATACTGAGAGTCCAATGTATATATTTAACACATCACTGGAAGCAGAAGTAATGGGTTGCTGTGAGTTTTCTGGGCTGTATGGCCATGCCATGTTTCAGAACATGGCCATACAGCCTGGAAGACTCACAGCAACCCAGTGATTCTGGTCATGAAAGCTTTCGACATCACAGCAGAAGCAATGACTGCTTTTCCAGTTTTTTAGAGAATTGTGCCATGTCAATTAAATCATGGATGATAAACCTCAAACAAAACTAAGAAGACACATAAAGGCAAAGTCTGACTGTGGGGGATTAAGAAAAGAAAATCTATATTAATGCAATATAGATTGGCTAAAACATACAAAGGCCATAATAAAAAAATGTTAGAAGTTTCAATATCAAGGAGGAACAGATTTTTAAGTTGGAGGACCATGTGCAAAAATATCTACTACTTGGGTCATTCCAAGATAAAGGGTAACTCCATCGAATTCTGTGCAAAAGAAGGAATGCAGATCAAGGAGGAATGAGAAGATAGTCCAATGCCTCTGAGAATATTAATGATCTCCTCAGATGTAACACTATCTCCAAATGACCAGATAACATTTGCAAGGGACAATCCCTCACCTTGAGAAAAGAGTTTAAGATTTCTAATGACTTGATGTGCAGAAATTCCCATACAGTGGAGGGACATGGGTCTCGCTAGGAGAGTCCCCTTTGGTGATTATTTCCTCAGAGCTGATGGAATGACAAGATAGGTAGATAACAAGAAAGGGGGTAATTGCACCAGCCAACTCCAAGATGCAGGCTCCGTGGTCACGTATCCACTCTAATTTAGTTCCATGTATTTTTTTCAACTGTGGATTTGTTTGGTAGGCTGTAATGATACGGAAGCAAATATGTTGAATGCTCTGCCTGTAACATGAAAGTCAAATTTGCTGAGCTCTTCCTTGGTTACCCAGTACTGTGGCTGTTCGGTCCAGAGGAGAAGATATTAGTCATGGACCTGGTTACCATTACATGTGATTGTTTCGTGTTTTCGTACAGTTCCGTCCATTTGGATGGCATGGAACTGTACCACCCTACTGCCAAGCACTCGATACTGTGGGCTAGGTGTTCGGCTATATAGGCCCTGACAGCTGGGCCAACAAGCATTCAGTGCTCAGCAGTAGGCCATGAGCGTCGAGCTCTCAACACTCATAGGCCCAGCTGGCAGGGCCTACAGCCAAGCACCAAGCTTACAGCACTGAGGGCTTGGCACCAGCACTCGACTGTAGGCACCAGCATTTGACGCTCGTAGGTCCATCTGGCAGGATCTGGCAGGGCCATCAGCTGGGCATACTGTGCACTTGGTTGTAGACCCTGACAGTCCTGGCACTTTGCTGCCCAAGGTCTGAAAATTTTCATTTTTTTTTTACCTTGGATGGAAAAGCTCATTTATGTAGGCATCCATTTTTAGAAGCAGCAGACAGAAACAGAGTCATATGAAAGGACATACCAAAACGGATAGCAATTTTATACAAATGCACAAGACTAGAAGATATGTATTTGCAGCAGTTCATGGTTTCTGCAGATAAAAGAATTAGCTTCCATGGATCTTAGGAATAAAGTATCCAAGACCACAAAGTAACTCAACCTTTGTGTCCTCAAGTGTTTTGGCCTACAACTCCCAGAAATCCCAGCCAGTTTAGCAGCTGTTAGGATTTCTGGGAGTGGAAGGCCAAAACATCTGGGACCCACAGGTTGAGAACTACTGTTCTAGACTATGGGTGCTTCCAGACAGCACCAAAATCTGCATTTTAAATCTAAGGCAAAAAATCCCAGGACCTCACCTATTTGTCCCAAGATATGGTCCCCCACAATCTTCACAGTCTTCCTCTGTAGTGGATCAAGATGGAGGGAGACAGGCGACATCCAGCGAATTTAAAAAAAAAGAAAATTCACTCTGTTATGTGTGGGATTGTAAATGCGTACATGCAAATATCTTTACATAAATACAAGCAGATTCGCATGCGCGCCAATGAGGTCCAGTGCATAATGGAGGGATTTTTTTAAAAAAAATCTTTCATCAGAGTTCTCTTTTCCCCCCAATTCTTTATTCAATCTCACCTGTGTGTCTGTTTAACAGCCCGATCAGCTGATAAGCTGTTTCCAACTTTTTAAAAGTGCACATCTGCTGGAGTAGTCTACACAGGAGGGAGGTAAGGAAAAATGTATTTTGCATGATCGCAAGTGTGTTTTTTCAGGCTTAATCGGGTTTTAAGCACACCTTTTTAAGACATGCCTTTTACTTCCAAATCCAATCATTCCCGCAGTTTAGCTAAACATTGTTTAGCCACACACACACACACACACACACACACACACCTTTTAACCCATTTATTTCCAGGTTTTACAGCATGTGTAGAAGATCCCTACATTACAGCTCTGCTAATCCAGATATATATTCTGTCAGAGCCTTTACTTGATCTCTGTGTAGACGTGCTGCACTTCGTTGTGTTGGAGACACACCAGCATTTGCATGAGAAAGTATCCAAATCCTATTCTAAATTGTTGATACGCTGAAGGCTTCGCACATAACTCAAGGGCTTTTTCAGTCTTCTACAAATATGTTGTTATACCACATTCACCTGTATCTGAGGTATGTAACAGAACCTGATTGTTCTGGCTTTTCCTCCCTGTGGCCTCTAAGTCCTGTTATACAGACAGCCAATGAATACAGAACTCATGACAGACAAGGAGCAGTTATTAGTGAAAGTTATCAGTGGTCAATGATGTTCTAAAATCCAGTAACTAAAGTGATAACACCTCCTAATGATTAACATGTAAGCTGAATTACTTTTCAGTCAGGAGACTGAAAAAGGAATATCATGCTACTTTAAAAAATCAATGTGGTATAACTTTTACTTACTTACTTATTTCATATGCCATCTTTTCCTGGAGAAGGATCTAAGATGGCTTCCAAGGTAAATAACCAAAACAAATTTCAGCAACTAGTAATTTGTTACATTAGCAGCCACACTCATAACTAATTACTACCAGGCATGGTACCTAAAACCAATTGCAATTTGTAATGTAATAGTGCTGGCAATTTGAGGCCAAGGGTTAAGGAATATATCCTATGTCATTCTCAGAGCAGATTATTGCCCAATTCCTTCGGGAGCAATGATCTTCCAGATGTTGTGATAGATTGAAAAGAAAATGTTGGCCATTCTTGGGAAGTGTTTGTGCTTGTATATCATCAGTTCATACCTTACAAAGCACAATTCAAGATGAATTTGAGAGAAGTTAGAGACCTGAAATACCATGACATGAGCCTCTTGGAATATGTAACATAACG